GGGTACTAATTGGGGTGATCAATGAGGAGTACTTCTGATTGGAAAATTAAATTAGTTAAATACCGATAGCTTTTATTACAGCTTTACGCTTTCAATCAATAATGGCCTGGTAATGGCCTAGTAATTATGACAGCATTGGTAAGTGCCGATAGCTTTTATTCAGTTTTCTTTCACTTTTTGATCAATAATTGCTGTAATATTGCAATATTAGTAAGTCCCAATGGCTTTTATTATGGTTCTTTTTGTTTTTTGATCAATAATTTTACAGTATTAGTAAGTACTGATGCTTTAGTTTTTTTTTTTATTTTTCGATCAATAATTGGCATAATTACATCAGTTTTTAGATCAATGATAATCAATTCATGATGGCGATGAATATAAAAACATTTATTTAATCGTTTCGTTTGAATTATTACATCAGGCTATAATGATATTAGTCTGAATTCCCTCACGACGATTGTTCTCTACCATGTACCCTTAATTTAAAATTTTTTTTATTACAAATATCCCAATAAGTTCATAAAACAATCGCATCAAACCCAAAGATCCTCTCTTTGTGTTGCCTGCGCATGATGCGTATATTACTGATCTTGGGCTTTCAAAAAAAGTAAAAGATGGAAAAGTTTATGGAATTCTACCATATATAGCGCCTGAGGTTTTGATGGGTTAGCTGTAACAATTGCATCAAACTCAAAGATTCCTCTTTGTTTTGATAATTGTTTCATATTTTTTTTTTTTCTTTTTGTAAGTATAAAAAGTGTTGCTTAAACGAAAATTTGTTTTCTCAAAATTTCATTAGTCACATCATGTCTTTCAATAAACGCTCACAAAATTTTCATCTATCTCTAATATACCTTCCTTTAATACACCTTGTCTTGACGACAATTTAGTTGTCTTGAGTAATGATTTTAGTGGTGTAATTAATGCCGAAGGATTGGAAGAACAATTCTTCAAGCGTGGTAAAAACGTGCACCCTATCTGGGGTTATTTTACACTATCTCGGGATAAAAAATTCATTATTTGTAGCCTGTGCCCTAAAACACAATATAGTATAACCACGGGCATTAGTACAATCAAACGGCATTTCGAAGCCAACCACAAATCTGAATACAACCAATTGCTCCAGGTATCACCTTCATGAGCTGTTGATCAATATGGCGTTCGTGATGAAAAAAAGGTCAAAAAATTAAATGGGCTTCTGGTACGTTGGATAATTTGCAACCAACAGCCTTTTTGCGTTGTCGAAGATGAAGATCTTTGAATGTTTGTTTTTGAACTTGATCCCCGCTATAGGTTTCCCTATAGACAAACGATCTCGGTTCATGTTTGGCAGCTATATGAAAGAGAATGTAGGCAACTACGTAATTTTTTTAAAAGTTTTGGATACAAGGTGTCAATTACAACAGATGCATAGTCCTCATGTACAAACCAAGGATTTCTCGCAATCACCTTACACTAGATTGATGATGAATGGCAATTGTGTCATATACTTTTGGACTTCGTCCCCTCCACGAACGCCATACGTGTATTTTTTTGGCCGATACAATTTTTGAAATAATCGAGGATTTTGGTTTAGGAAGAAAAATCTTGTCGATGACCGCGGACAACACAAGCAATATGAATGTCTGTGGTGAAAACCTTGCTAGTATGTTAAAATATAACTACGATAATACTGCTTTCTGCCGGTTACGTTGCGCCACCCATATACTTAACCTCGCCATCGTCAATGGTCTTTCTGTAATTGACAATTCAACCAAAAAAGCACGAGATTTCACAAGTTGTATTCGCCGCTCCCAACCCTGTCTAGAAGAGTTGAAAAAAATTTTTGCAATGAAAAGTCAACCGTTTTTGGTGCCTGAGACCAATTGCAAAACCAGGTGGAATTCACTGTACCTAATGTTAAAAAAATTATGTAAAATAAAAGAAATGACAAATATATTGGTGGTTTCAATGCCACATCTTAAAAAACAATATATGAATGAACAAGATTGGGTTAATATTAATGTTATAACAACACTATTAGAACCCATTTTTGAAGCTACTAAACTACTTTTCTCCTCTACCCACCCGACAATTGGAGACATGCACGCAGTTTTTTCTGTAATTATCGCACATCTTACCGAAGCTAAAAATAAAAAAATCCAGTAAGTTTGCGTATATCTGAAAAAATGCTTGAAAAACTAAATAAGTACTGGGACGAATTACAATCCTCTCTTCCCGAGGCAGTATTGCTTGATTTGTCGTCTAAATTTTCAACTTATTGCTCTAGCTCTGAAATAAATAATGTTTGTCAAATAATTAATAAAACTTATAAAAGTTATGCTCCCCTTGATCAAAAAACAACTACACAGGTTCTAGAATTGAATCAGTTCAGTTCTTCTCGTGATTACTTTCGAAATCAGTTAAAACGATCTCATAGTGATATGTCAATTAGTTGTAATGTGTTAGACGAATATTTGAATATGCCTGATGAAAATGTAGATGTACTTGCATTCTGGAAGTCTAAATCTTTAAATATAAAGTGGGCACCTCTTGTTAAAATGGCCTGGGATTACCTGGTTGCTCAGGCAACCAGTGTCCTAAGCGAACAGGCTTTCTCTCTTGCAAAACACACAATAAGTGCATTGCGAAACTGAATGGATGATGATAAGGTTCGTGCAAGTCTGTGTTTAAAAACATGGTATGATGCAGGAATAGTAAAGAATAGTTTTGAACTTTAGAATTAGTACAGTATATATTGATACAGTATATAGTTCTACGTGTTTTTTTTTTTGTTAACAGTTATATGTAATACTGTAATATGTAATAAAAAAATTTATTCTAAACCGCTAGGGTAGGACCGGTGTGGGACCACATTTTGACAGGGGGGTGAACTAGTTTTCAACTAGTCCTGGACCGGACTTTTTAGGGACCGGACCGGGACTGAACCAGACGAACCATTTAACATCTCTACAAATTTAGAATAAGAGGATTGATCAGGTGCAAAATTGCATCTGGCTTAAATGAATAGAGGCAAAATTTTAAATTATGAGCACCCGGGCCCCTTTACAATGGCTACAACTCTTATTAAATTAAATTAGCTACCAGATAAAGTTAGCATACAAATTTTATTTGCATTAATTTTATCTCATATAATCCTAGAATGTATAATTAGCTGAAAAAGTGTACATAATAAAAAATATCAGATGTTCTATGCTGTCCAATAACATAGTTAATTGTAAATGCAAGAAATCTTTGATTATAACTGTTTTTTTGCATTAGTTTATATGTGAAAAAATTATATACTGCATAATTATTTAGTCAAATTAAGTTTGTTAAAAAAATATAATTACAGCTGTAATAATAAAATAAATTAATATATTTACTCCTATATATTCACACAATATAAACTATATTATTAAGTGTGATTATATAGGGTAAACACCATACAATCACACTCCTTTATAATTACAATTTTGCTGCAACAAACAGCATGATTATAGAGGAGGAAGACTGTACATATAAAATGAATTTATTAAATAAACTATCTTCTAACTATGCATAGCTCTTAAAAAAACACCTGCAAAATTTATAAATAGAACGAGTTAGATATTTGAATAAAAAATAAACCCAAAAAAAATAAACTCAAACTCTATGAATTAAGCAGTATAATATAGGTAGATAATACTTCAACTCTTCTTAGATCTACTGTTAGTCGCGCGATGCAAAGCGATACAACTTTATTTTCTTGACGAGACACTCACTAGAAAGTTGTTCTATTAATAAAATATTATGTCAATAGTTGATTTTTTTTTTAAATTGCTTATATCCAAACTTTGGTTTTACACTACTATTCTATATAAATACTTGTATAACGGATTCGAATGTCTCTTATGCGGTTTAATATTAGAATATTAGATTACAATATTTCTGAAACACTCATTAGCAACTTTAAATATTATAGATAATTAACTCTATCTGAGCAGAAGCACATCAAATTCTTCAAATAAAATTGGTTCTGAACACTATGCTAACTTCTTTGAATATCTCTAATCAACTTGGATCTAAAGGAGGAAAAACATTAACGGTTACAATTTGCAAGAACATTACGCTGACTTCTTTAAGTCTTTCATGTAATCAACTTGGCTTTGAACAGATCTTAGTTTGGAAAACAGAATTTGAAGATTTGAATAGTGATCTTGAACCATAGGGAGAAACGCATTGGCAAATACTCTTCACTTTTAGAAATCAAACTGATGCCGAAGGTATTAGATGCGCTTATCGAAAATAGCAATAAACCTTAGTTCAAAAATATGTTGGTCCTCTTTGTGGAAAAGCATTAGTGATGAACTTGCTAATCTTAATACTTTAAACAACTCATTAATAAAGGTTTTAATCACCTATATGGGTGATGAATGTTTTAATTAAAGGCAATACAACTCTTTTTTGTCAATCCACGCATTGATCTATTTAAAATTACGAAATTAATTTAACTAATAATAAATTCATATATTTAGTATAAGACAATAATTTTCTTGAAATGATAAAGAAAAGTGTTTGAATTTGAGCAAGGAAATTTTTCAGAGCATTAGAACTTTATGAAGAGATTCTCGCATAGTCTCAACCTGGGATCTTTCTTATAATGAAGGTGATCGGGAAAGAATAAGCGAAGGTACTTCGCAAAAGAATATTACGTTAACTTTAAGCGTGGATGAATATTTTCTGATTTTAACTTATAATGGCTCTACGAGCGAGAGACTTAAAGAATTATGCTTGAACGAAATATACTATTTAATATGAATTAAGAAGAGTATTATCTGATGCACTTTGTAAAAATAGCATTTTATCATTTTTAAACATTTCGAATTATTATTTCAGATCTAAACGAGGCAAAACGCACGTTGATTTCTTTACATGTGTATTCCTTTAATACTGAAAGGAAGTTTTTGGTCATCATAACACGTTAATACCTGAGAGTATTATCCCTCAAAATAATTCAAACCGTTATTCGATTATTCAATTTATATTACAACAGTTTCTGGCGATCTAATTGAAGGAATAAAAAAATGGCTTGGATCTAAAGAAGAAACAGTTATTTCTTCCATTATGACTTCATTGGTTATGATGTTTTTACGAGCAGGCAGTAAACTTAAAAAATTAGAGCTTAATGGAGATAGATGTTATCTTAATCAAGAATTAAAGAAAGTATTTT